AGAGTGCTGTCCTCTGAAGATGCCGGCCACAGAGACTGGTGAAACGTTAGGAAGAACAACCTTCAGAACACAGCCAAAGAGCCTGAAAAACCCACAATAACCATTTGTACATAAGAACTTGAGTTTGCGGTTGTAATCACATACTCTCTAACACGGATGGGAATAAGCTTCGCTGAAGTCATAGGGCATATATTTGGATGGACAGTATACAACTGTGTTTCAAATGAAGACTGGCAGCTGTGTTTGAATCTTTTGTTTAAAATCAAGCATTTTTAGGTAAAATTGTTTTGTTTTTGTTTGTATCAGGAGTTCTGATACAAATAATAATAAACAAAACAAATATGTGGTAGTTTCTGACTTATTTACTGTATTTCTAAAGCCTGCAACGCTAGTTCTTCTTGCTATAGATTTTATTTTTTCTTCTTTAGCACCGTATGTCACTTCAAATTCAAAATTATATGGTTAAAATGGCGAGTGTGAGGTCTAAGAGTGTAGTAGTGCCCGAGGCAGTTCAGGAGAGCATTGTACGCATCAATAACTTATTATAGGCTCCTGCATGGGCAAAAAGCCTTTTCAAAGGCGCGGCACCACAAAATTCAGATACTGTATCTGGTCAAGATCATCTCCTAAACTCTCCTGTTTCGATGAGACGCAGTATGGATGCTGTCCCTATCATTAGTGCTGAAAATTTCACTGCCATCCCTGATCGCTGGATTTGGAAGGGCACAACCTCACGGCAGCAAAACATCTTGAGCCAGTCCCGGTGTGGTGTTTGTGGACAAATACTTTGTGTTGGTGGAGTAAGTAGAAAAAGGACAGAATAATTGCGAGCGGACAACCTTTCTATTGGTTCGAGTACAAACAACAATGGGCGACTTCTCAAGCCACACTCAATACTGACGGACACTGAGAAGCCTCTTTTTGAACGGCGAAAGTTGTAAAGCACATTTTCCACATAAACAAATCTCGAAAGTTAAGCATTCAATCTATCGCCTATAATCACTATTCGTTTCTGGTGGCAAAAATCACTTTCTCCGGGGAGGAGGAGGAAGGGAAAAGATGGCGTCACAAGAAGTCTATTTTCTGAGGAGTTCCTCGGGCGGAAACTTAGGAGTGTGTCACTCTTTATTTTTTTCTCTCTCTTTGTTTATTTCCTCCTCTGGGCAGCCGCCAACCGCACTTCTTTTCTATCTGTGTGCGTCCAAGACGGGCGATTATTTGCATGCTCTCTCCCCCCGCCTTCTGATTGGTGGATGTAAGCTCCGCCTCTCACGCAGTCCAGCCCAGGGCGGTTACGAGCTGAGGGGACGAACGGGCGGCATTTCCCCGTGGCGCCTTGTATTATCGCTGCTTGGCCACCACCCTCCTCTTTCTCCTTCGCTCGGAGGCCGGGATCATGCTGCGGGTCTGTCAACGCGCCGGGAGTACAGCAGCTCAGGTAAAAAAGGGGAAGGGTGAACCGAACAGGGTGGGAAAACGACCACGACCGCAGGTAGCGACCTCGGTCCTGGTACTTTCTTCTGGCTGAGGAAGGGAGCCGTGCCGAGTTCGCGGTCAGGCTGGACGCCGTTATTGGTCGCTGTGAGGACGAAAAACACGTGGGAGTGTCTTGGTTATTCACGCATATATATACAGCCACGTTCCTTGGACACGCTATATTCTATATATAAGGCCAGTGGGGGAAGAGAGCGGCGAGAAGGGTAGCGGCGAGTAGGCGGGATGAGGACGGTTGGGTTTAAATGAAGCCTACATTTCCCATCGTGCATTGCGGAGCGATGCCTTTTCTTTGAGGTACTTGGCTGGAAACCAGCCCGTTGGTGGCTGGACGACGGGCCGCGCGTGAAAACACAACAGCGTGTGGGAACGCTCCGTCACGTGCAAGGAGGGCTCGCGCTCTTGTGGTTTAGGAGGCGAGGTCCAGGGTCACCGGAAGTGGGGCCGCTGCTGGGACTTGTAGGCCCCTTCGTGTCACCTCTAAGCGGAGGAGGGCCTCCCCCAACCCCACGCGCTCTTCCAGCTGTGCCACGGCTGCGTGGCTGCCGCGCGAAGTCGTTGGGCAGTCGCCAGAGGGGACTTTTTTGGCACCAGCGGCTTTCAGATTATTACCACCAGAGGCCGTTCATGTCGCCTCGAAAGGCATGACCTTGCTGTAATTCATCTTTCCTCCGTATAGTTTAATTTTGGGGAAGAAAAGGGTCTGGAGGTCGTGCTGCTACCTCCCTGGAAATGTCTGCCCCTGTTAGGCATGTGTGTAAGGGAGGATGTGATGGTGTAAGAGCATTCTGTACACAGTTTGGAGCATTATTGATTCGATTTTGTATGTGGCATACTCTAACCTTAGTGCTGGAAAGAGTTTCTAAGGGTCACTGTCGTTGCCACAAACAAGGGGAAAAAAGGAAAGTCTCAGCTGCATCGTGTTCTTCAGTTCTTTACATATTTAGTTGTAGAAGAAGTGGCCAGGTTAGTACCTCGGTTTACAAATTTCATGCATTCTCCGGGACGTTTCATAATGTGATAAATTTGTAAACAAAAACACGATTTTCTATAGGAATGCATGCACAGGGGCAGCACTATAAACCTTCCGGGCACAATGCAAACTTGTTTCGTATTGCCAAAAAAATAAAAATAAAATAAAATCGTAAATTGAGGCATTATTTTCAATGGATTTTCGTCCGTAAATCAAAAATTATGTTAACTGAGGCATTTGTAAACTGAGGTACCACTTTATAGCAGTTACTCTTTAAGGTGCCATCATGGTTTTACCTTTTTTATTTGTTTTATTTTGTTTATACCTGTAATGCTTATACAGAAAGAAAGTTTTAGGATCAGTTTTGACTAAGTAAATGGAAAATATAGTATTTGAACTTGGTGATCCCTTGTTCTTTACTGCTCAAAAATTATTTCCTTGTTAATAATCATATTTTCGTTTTCTTCTTTACTACTGTGGGTAAATTACAATAATTGTAAAATACAACTGAAATAAGCTGAGAACCACCTAATTTTATATATGATTAAAGGAAAGCTGTCTAATTGTATACGTCATTTAAGAAGCAGCACAAAAAGAGCTGGTGGGACAGAGATAATTTCAGAGTATGCTGAAAAGTAAGCAGTAGTGGTGACAGGAGAACTTCCCTTCAGAAGGTGTCCTAAATATTGTACATTATAGCAGAATCTATGGCTAGTATCTTGTGCAGCTCTGCTTGCATAATTGGAGTGATGTCACAGGCATTTGTGTCTAATTAGATAATTCCTTTATCTATTTGTGTGTGTGTGTGTCATTCTATACCATTGTGTATGGGTTGTGCACAACTGAAATTGAAAAAAGAAACTCTTCAATTAGCAGTAGTATGCTGGTGTCATCACTCCTCATTTGCAGGTAGAGTTATGCAACAGGATGATGGCCTAAATGTGTCTATACACCATATTTGATGTATATAAAAATAGAGCAAAAAGGGCAGTCAAAGAGACAGCCATGGCAGTGTTCTTTAAGATTATCGTATGTCCAAAGCTATAGTCCTGTTAAATTGCAAGAGTGTGCAAGAATGTGATCTTTGTGTACTTGATACTGTACAGTACTGTACATCTTGTTGAATTCAGTAAAAGTTCTAAGCAAGGCATTCTTGTAGCTGATTCTTCAGTTTGCTGATTTTTCTGAGCTCCTGTACAAAAATGTTCCATCAAAACATTTTTAAGCATGCTGAATAACTTTCACAGGATTTGATTTGTTGATCTGGAATGTTCAAAAAGAAGAAGAAAGTCATTCTAATGGTAATGGTCATCTTATATGCATGCCCGCATTTTGAAACGAAGACCAGTATCCTGTTCAGTATTTATATGTGCATACTTATCAGTTATGGAAGCTGCTATGCTAGTGCAATTGGATCAGGTGATCAAGCATGTAACTGCACAATATTGGCACCTTGTCAGTTCATTGCACCAGCTTCTGTATGTGGAGTGTGGATATATAAATAATATACAGGATATGGACTTAATTAACAGAGCAATCCTGTACTGTATATTCATAACTGTCACTGTGGTCAGTGGAGCTTATTCCCTGGTAATTGTGTGTATTATATTTGTATGCAGCAGGTATTTGTACATACCACCCTTTTCCAGTTTAGAATGCAGTCTATAGGCCGGCAACCTCAATCCTATTGATTCAAAGGGACAGACATGTTTAAATATGTTGGATTTCAATCCATGCTTTTTAAATCTTAAATTTTGAGTTCTGTATCCTTCATTTTACAAACTTCAGAATATATAAAAAGAACTACTTTCCTCCTAAATGTACACCTATTTGTCTACTAGATCTTAAAGAAATCTACTGCGTGTTTTAGGCCTTGTACAGGAAAGAAGTCAGATAATAATACAGTGGTGCCTCGCTTAACGAGTGCACCGTATAGCGATGTTTCCGTATAGCGATCCCTTTTTCGGGATCGCTATACGGAAACATACCCGATCTTCACAATGGGGAAAACCCGCATTGCGAAGATCGGGTATTGCGGCGGCCATTTTGGAGCCGCCGAACAGCTGATCGGCGGTTCCAAAATGGCCACCGGAAGCCCGGAA